AAAAAATAATAAATATGATTTATTGTGTAGTAAATGACTAATTTAAAACTTAAATGTTTTAGAAAATATTTTTGCCTATGTGGACACCCTAGATGGAGAGAGAACTCCCTCATTATATAATAGATTAGTAAAAATCAAGTGACGTAGTAAAATGTTAAGAAAAAACAAATATTTTCTATATTACTTTTAAAAGTTATATATCCTATGAAATATGAAAACTTTTTTCTTATTAAAAAGTTTGTAGTTCAATTAAAAAAAAAATCTTACATTCGATCAGACATTACGAAGACCAATGTTTAAGAAATAGTATCCTTAAATCTTAATTATTTTTCTACGATGAACAAAAATCAAAGTTTACGAGACGAAGATAAATGAAAAAAATGCATTAAACTATTTTTATCCATTAAAAAACCATTTCAAAAAGATCTACAAATTCTTTCAACTCTAACTAGCAAAACCCTAAATTAAACTTGAAGAAAAAAATTTACACCTTACTGAGATAAGTTTTCCCATTCCGCAATTGAAAAAAACTGTAAACAACAAGCAAACAAAACGTTGTTCAGTATCTTCCATATGCCAAAATACTAAAGACATTGTGAAGTGCGAAGTATAACAGAATAACAAAGAAACATTGTGAAGACATATGAAAACCATCTATGATTGATAAATCATACTCAGTGTCGTGCCTAGACTTTTAGGGGCCCGAGGCGAACTCAAAATAATTTTTTACATATGATTTTTTAACCACAATTACAATTTAATTTCAGATGATTGTTATAGAGTGTCAATAAAAAGTTAAAGATATAAAAAAGTAAGCTCTTATTTTAGCATCAAAGTGGTTTTAAATTTGGGATGAAAGTCTCCAAATTTGTTCTTACCATACTTTTATCATTATACTACAATTAATCTTTAGAATATGGGGCACTAAATTACATAAACTCATCCGATCCCCGAGGCGAATGCCTCTATAATACCAAGGGAGACACAGCCTTGATCATACTATAAATCTAAATAAGAAAATGATTGATAAATTTTATTTTCAAATTCGTAGTCGGTTATTTAGATAATATAATTTATCTAATGGCCAAATATATGTACCTAACAAAATTTTAAACAAGTAAATTTTAAACAATAACTTCGGTATTTTCATGCAGCATTAAAATTATTATTTTTTCAAATCAAATATTATTTTATATCTACAAGAACTTTGTTGTTTTTATC